TTAAAGTAGTTAAATTGACAATTTAGTACTATATTCTTTGGTTCTTTCATTAAAATCACGTAGGCAGAAAAATAATAAAATTTAATAGAACAAAAAATAATATATCATGACGTTTCGATCGCAACACAAGCGGTCGTCCTCAGGCGTAAAAAAATAATCCAGCAGTGGAACTGCTGAACCAGCGAGAGAGCTGTTACAACAAGGAGGTTATAGATGTGGTGATGGGCAAGGAAGCCGAGTCTGAGCAGGAAAGGAATTCCATCCCCGGACGCAAGCACCTCAGTTGTGTTAATGGGGGAGATTAGGGAGAGAATTAGGGAGAGAGATTAGCATGAAATGAGCTTCTGTCGCCGCATAAAATATCATCCCACATACTATTAATTATTATATTACTACGCTGAGCGCGCGCCAAAGCATGCATCATCGCATGCACGAAACGTGGTTCCCATAGCAACGCACATGCGCAATTGGTGGGGGTTGGGAAAAATTCTCATTCGCTTTAATGCAACAAAAAAGACAACGCTGAGGTAATTCTTCAAAGTGTGTTGTCCTATTCTCCCCCTCCCACCTCAATGTGTGCAGTTACTACTGTAGTGACTGTGAATGTCACTGTGTGCTGCCGGGCTTGCAAAGCCACGACAGATAATGTGTTGGAATTATGTGTAGTCCGCTTACTGGGCGTAGTACCAGCCCTAACGGGGCTTGGGTGAGCACTGGTCAGCGCGGAGGCACCACGTACAGTGTGCGTTGCAAGCTCCTGGTGGGGGAGCGAGAGGGAGTGTCAGGCAGCAAGGGTTATGTTAGGGCATGATACGTTGGTTGACCTGCCGACACGTGACCGGATGATATTGGAGGGGAGACACCGGTGGATGGGGGCCGCTGGGTGGTCACGTGGTATAGAGGAGCTCTCGTTAGCCTTCGGGAAAGAGCTCCAGAGATCTAGAAGGTGGGCGGGACGAGGGGCGGAGCCAGCCCCAGCCCCAGCCCAGGCCGATATAACGGTGGCCCCGTGATGGGCTCGGGGTTCTTCGTGTTGCTGGTGATGAAGATCCACGTCGGGTAAAGAAGGCTCTAGCCACGCGGTCCGGGATCCAGCTTGTAGTCTGGGCCGGGATAGCGAACCGTGCCTAGTTCTGTCATTGCGTGGCTAGATGAGCATTCAACACCCAAGTGCAGGTTGTGTTACAGTGAGGGAAAAACGTATTTGATCCCCTGTTGATTTTGTACATTTGCCCACTGACAAAGAAATGATCAGTCTATAATTTTAATGGTAGGTTTATTTGAACAGTGAGAGACAGAATAACAACAAAATAATCCAGATAAACGCATGTCAAAAATGTTATAAATTGATTTGCATTTTAATGAGGGAAATAAGTATTTGACCCCCTCTCAATCAGAAAAATTTCTGGCTCCCAGGTGTCTTTTATACAGGTAACGAGCTGAGATAAGGAGCACACTTGTAAAGGGAGTGCTCCTAATCTCAGCTTGTTACCTGTATAAAAGACACCTGTCCACAGAAGCAATCAATCAATCAGATTCCAAACTCTCCACCATGACCAAGACCAAAGAGCTCTCCAAGGATGTCAGGGACAAGATTGTAGACCTACACAAGGCTGGAATGGGCTACAGGACAATTGCCAAGCAGCTTGGTGAGAAGGTGACAACAGTTGGTGCGATTATTCGCAAATGGAAGAAACACAAAAGAACTGTCAATCTCCCTCGGCCTGGGGCTCCATGCAAGATCTCACCTCATGGAGTTGCAATGATCATGAGAATGGTGAGGAATCAGCCCAGAACTACACGGGAGGATCTTGTCAATTATCTCAAGGTAGCTGGGACCATAATCACCAATAAAACAATTGGTAACACACTACGCCGTGAAGGACTGAAATCCTGCAGCGCCCGCAAGGTCCCCCTGCTCAAGAAAGCACATATACATTCCCGTCTAAAGTTTGCTAATGAACATCTGAATGATTCAGAGGACAACTGGGTGAAAGTGTTGTGGTTAGATGAGACCAAAATGGAGCTCTTTGGCATCAACTCAACTCGCCGTGTTTGGAGGAGGAGGAGGAATGCTGCCTATGACCCCAAGAACACCGTCAAACATGGAGGTGGAAACATTATGCTTTGGGGGTGTTTTTTCTGCTAAGGGGACAGGACAACTTCACCGCATCAAAGGGACGATGGACGGGCCCATGTGCCGTCAAATCTTGGGTGAGAACCTCCTTCCCTCAGCCAGGGCATTGAAAATGGGTCGTGGATGGGTATTCCAGCATGACAATGACCCAAAACACGGCCAAAGCAACAAAGGAGTGGCTCAAGAAGAAGCACATTAAGGTCCTGGAGTGGCCTAGGCAGTCTCCAGACCTTAATCCCATAGAAAATCTATGGACGGAGCTGAAGGTTCGAGTTGCCAAACTTCAGCCTCGAAACCTTAATGACTTGGAGAAGATCTGCAAATAGGAGTGGGACAAAATCCCTCCTGAGATGTGTGCAAACCTGGTGGCCGACTACAAGAAACGTCTGACCTCTGTGATTGCCAACAAGGGTTTTGCCACCAAGTACTAAGTCATGTTTTCCAGAGGGGTCAAATACTTATATCCCTCATTAAAATGCAAATCAATTCGTAATATTTTTGACATGCGTTTTTCTGGATTTTTTTGTTGTTATTCTGTCTTTCACTGTTCAAATAAACCTACCATTAAAATTATAGACTGATAATTTCTTTGTCAGTGGGCAAACGTACAAAATCAACAGGGGATCAAATACGTTTTTCCCTCACTATGTTATGTTGAGTTGAGTTACTGAATAAATAGTGTTGCTCCCAAGACAACGTCTGCGACTCAGTTGGACTCACTACATATGTATGTTATTTGTTACCTTTTGAGAAGTTCTGAAATATATTTTTCCCCCGGGCAACGCCGGGTACTTCCTGCTCGTTCCGAATATAGCGCGGCACACCCATGAATGTGCCACAGCACACTGGTTGAGAAGCACAGGACTAGAGTACTCGGTGTGCGTGTTGTAGGCGAGGCCTGCATGTTATCGAGTACAAGGTGTGTGTTCTTAGACCTGTGTGTATGTGTGTGTGTAGACTAGGCCTGCTCTAAAAGGGGTGTGTTGTAAGAACTGTGTGTAGACGAGGCCTGCTTTACAAGGTGTGTGTAAGAACTGTGTATAGACGAGGCCTGCTTTACAAGGTGTGTTGTAAGAACTGTGTATAGACGAGGCCTGCTTTACAAGGTGTGTGTAAGAACTGTGTATTTGTGTAGACGAGGCCTGCTTTACAAGGTGTGTGTAAGACCTGTGTATAGACGAGGCCTGCTTTATAAGGTGTGTGTAATAACTGTGTATAGACGAGGCCTGCTTTACAAGGTGTGTGTAAGAACTGTGTATAGACGAGGCCTGCTTTATAAGGTGTGTGTAATAACTGTGTATAGACGAGGCCTGCTTTAGAAGGTGTGTGTAAGAACTGTGTATAGACGAGGCCAGCTTTACAAGGTGTGTGTAAGAACTGTGTATGTAGACGAAGCCTGCTTTACAAGGTGTGTGTAAGAACTGTGTATAGACGAAGCCTGCTTTACAAGGTGTGTGTAAGAACTGTGTATAGACGAGGCCTGCTTTACAAGGTGTGTGTAAGAACTGTGTATAGACGAGGCCTGCTTTACAAGGTGTGTGTAAGAACTGTGTGTGTAGACGAGGCCTGCTTTACAAGGTGTGTGTAAGAACTGTGTATAGACGAAGCCTGCTTTACAAGGTGTGTGTAAGAACTGTGTATAGACGAGGCCTGCTTTACAAGGTGTGTGTAAGAACTGTGTATAGACGAGGCCTGCTTTACAAGGTGTGTGTAAGAACTGTGTATAGACGAGGCCTGCTTTACAAGGTCTGTGTAAGAACTGTGTATAGACGAGGCCTGCTTTACAAGGTGTGTGTAAGAACTGTGTGTATGTAGACGAAGCCTGCTTTACAAGGTGTGTGTAAGAACTGTGTATAGACGAGGCCTGCTTTACAAGGTGTGTAAGAACTGTGTATAGACGAGGCCTGCTTTACAAGGTATGTGTAAGAACTGTGTATGTGTGTAGACGAGGCCTGCTTTACAAGGTGTGTGTAAGAACTGTGTGTAGACGAGGCCTGCTTTACAAGGTGTGTAAGAACTGTGTATAGACGAGGCCTGCTTTACAAGGTGTGTGTAAGAACTGTGTATAGACGAGGCCTGCTTTACAAGGTGTGTGTAAGAACTGTGTATAGACGAGGCCAGCTTTACAAGGTGTGTGTAAGAACTGTGTATAGACGAGGCCTGCTTTACAAGGTGTGTGTAAGAACTGTGTATAGACGAGGCCTGCTTTACAAGGTGTGTGTAAGAACTGTGTATAGACGAGGCCTGCTTTACAAGGTGTGTGTTCAAGTATTCCCTGGCAAAGTCCCAGCAAGTGTGTGGCGGTATTTTCGTCATTAGAAGAGCCTCACTCTTCTTAAGCGAGGACAGAGGAGCTCTCCTCCATGCCGTTCAGTGGCCGATCCACCCCTCACCTCGCACCCTCCCCTCCCCATTGGTCGCAGAGCAGTACGGCAGCAGTCAGCCCCCACTCACCCGTGGCGGTGGGATTGTAACCACCTCGCCTGGTATGCAGGTCGTGGGTTTGATCCTGACCATGATGCATGTATGTGTATGTGTAGACGAGGCCTGCTTTACAAGGGGTGTGTTGTAAGAATGGTGTGTGTGTGTAGATGAGGCCTAGCTCCGCCCACTTACCCTTAGGTTGAGCCCACCAAAATGCAATATAAACTCTTGTTGCAGCAGCTCTTTCTCCTATGTCAGCAGTTCTCCTGCTGTATCTGTTCCACCTGATTACGGTCGCTTGTGTTGCGATCGAAACGTCGTGATTTATTTTATACCTACGTGACTTTACAAAAAGAACCAGAGAGTATGATACATGTATATTTGGAGTTTGCGTCTCTCCGTTGTCGCGTACATTTTTCTGCGGGTCCTCCGGTTTTTCGATCCACATTCGGAATTAACATCACGCGTTTCGAGTACTTGGCTGCTATACATTTCCACATGATATCGCTTCTGAAAAAGAGCTTTATAGCTCAGAGGGCCTTACCTGGTAAAATAAAAATGATTATTTTGGTTTGGTGTCCTAAGAAGAATTGAGCAAGCTTATGTGAGTCCCGTGCAGTGCAAGAGGTTGAGACTTTGTGTTCTAGAGTACAAGCTGTGCGTGTAGTAAACTACTCATCCGTCTTATACAGTTCCAGGCATGTGTTTGAGACGTCTCGGCATGTGTGTTCTAGAGAGCACACGGTGCCAGCATTGCGGATTTGTGTGCCGAGCGGCGAGCGAGCGTAGGTTCGGTAAATCTGTCAGGAGTCGACTCGCCCCTTGCGCCTTGCGGTTTCTCCCACAAGGCAGCGGCGTTGGGTCGCCACTCCCTCTGGAACGTGGGCGCTCGCGAGTCCAGTTGCCGCCTGTCTGGGAATTGGCATCTGGGTTGGGTGGCAGGACTCGATGTGTACTGAGATCTGGTACCGGTATTGCACTGAACTCTATTGCAGGATAACAGACCAAGGCCGACTGAGAAATGCCTGTGGGGAAAAGTGGCAACCCTATCCCTCTCATGCACCCAGTCACTCGTTCACTCACCCATTCACGCACCCACTCATCGACTCCCACACAATGATTACCCATCCCCTCCACGGTTGCCACCTGTCCGCGTTCGACCCAGACAGTGCGGGAATGTGAGCCTTTGTTTGGGTGGCAGTAATTGATTCGCACAGAGATCTGGTACCATTACTCTGTGTAAAGCTTCACGATGGTATAGTGCACAATATTGACAGGCTTAGACTGACTGAGATATCTTGGCAGGCTTTGGTCGACGGTGGAAAAGGTGATATGGACCCTATCACTGCGCTAGCGGTGTGGCCAGAGCGGCGCTCGTAAGTGACGTGCGCCGCAATGCCATTGCAATGGGGACGCAAGGCCTCGTTCATTCGCGGTAGCTTTATTTGCATGGGGGCTTCCATCTCACCCGGGGATTAACGAGCGTCGCTCTCGGACGCCGCTTTCTCCTCTGCCTCGCCCCGCACGATCCCCGCGGACGCAACTGTGGCTGCCTCTGGGCGAGTGGTGGCTTTTTACCCACAAGCTCCTTCATGAACACGGCACGCGAAGCGCGGAGGGCTCGTCGGCAGATGCGGGTGTCGGCTGCCCTTCCCCCGAAACAAGTTGCCTTTGCAAGCTTCAGGCTGCAGCCTCCAGGAGACTGGGTTTGGCTGCAGTCGTCATCGAAGCAACGAGCGGGAAGGAACTCAGCGACCCGAGCGTTCCTCGGTCGACCCCGTGAGAACACCAGCACCCCGTTTTTTGCGAAGCCACTTCAACGAAGCTGCCGACCATTACCGGTGATGGCGCGCGCGTGTCCCTGCTCGTCACAGTTCTATGTTTGTTCCGTGATTGCGCACGGTGCGGCTTGGCTGTGGCATTAAGAGTTTCTGGACGTGTTTGAACCTGCGCATTAAAACTCAACGCGGATCCACTGCAGAATAGGTGCGTTCGTACACCCACGTCTCATCTTAATCAACCCTGCCTTGCACTTTACCGTTAGGGCCTTGTAGCTTCAAGGTCTTAAAGAGTCCCAGAAGCAGGTGGAGACTAAAGACTAATGTTACAAGCAAATAAGTGGGTAAGTCGGTGAGAGTTGTGAATTGGTTGGCAAGGGAGTGAGTCGATGAGTGAAAGGCTCAGTCAATTGGTGGGTAAGTCTGAATTGGTGGGTGTGAGCGAGTTCATTAACTTGTGTGAGTCTAATAGTAGGTTGATGATTTGCTAAGTTTAACGAGTGAGAGAGGTGGCTAATTTAATGCATCGGTCAGCGAAATAGTGGGTGGGGTTGAGAGAGCTTGTGAGTGAGCCGGTGAGTGGAATGCTAAGTGCTAATCCAGAATTAATTTATCCGGATCTGGTTTTTCATCCGGCATGTGGTGGTGATGCAGGCTGTGCTGCTGCTGCCTGGAGTTTGAGCGTTGACCCTGCAGGTTGGGCAGCAGCAGCACCCGCGTGCCGCCCAGCGGTAGTGGGGCTGCGGTGGGCGCTGCCGCCGCCTTGCCGTTCTGTGCCGCTTCCAGATCCTCCTCCCATGGCGCGCTGCCATTCACCGTCTGCGGAGCAGCGCAAGAGGAATTCAACATGCGTTCAGAGTATTTTGCTGCTATAAATTTCCACATGATAAGCCACTTCGTTGAGCTATCATTTGTGAAAAAGAGCTATATAGCTCGGTGGGCCTTAGCTGGTAAAAAAATAGAATGAAGTAAAAATACAATAATTGGTTATGGAAAACATTCCAAAAAACTAATTCTGCCGGAACAATTTTTTTTCAAATTTACGGTTGGTGAAACCAGGGCTTCATAATTGATTATTTTTTGTATTGAAATTTCACCACCAAATTTAGGGCCTGAGACTGGAGGACACTTTGACAATTGTAGCGACTGCCTGACGATGTCGGCCGTCGGTCGGAGCGCCACGTCCGCACCCTGGTGTGCACCACGTTGGGAATCACTCTCCAGCAATGCCACCACTGGGGTTGCTGGGGCAGCCAGCAACCGGCATGTTTGGTCATCGCGTGACAACGTCGTTGATCTTGCTGTGTCGGGTGCAGGAGGGTTTATGACATGCAATTTCGCTTTTGCGGCGATTCGACCCGAAGATCGGTTACGAATCATATTGGTCTCGGATGCCCACGCATTAAAACTAAGCTTGGCTTAATTCAAGCTGCAGTTGTCCGGGGCTTATCTCCAGTGCTTAAGTTGCAGGTAGAGGCATGTGGTTATGCACGGCACGCACACTCACGGTATGTGTGCGTACTTGGTGTCAAGTTGGGACAGGGTTCATCAACAGTAACCAGTGGTCGCCTTATCAAAGCACCACCCCCCCCCTCCCCCCAAAGCAAAGATCCCCCGTGTAACAGACTGGAGGAACAAGTGCTGTTAAGCGAGCACCTATGAAGGCCGGAATGGCACGCGAGGAGGTGGTTGACCAGCACCACACCCTGCCGCCTTTGTCTCCAAAGTGCCCACGTTTACACACCGAACCAGGTACTCATTAAAGGCTGAGAACCCAAGTTCGGTTCAAATTTTCGCCACTGTTATTAGTCGGGAGCAGGAATCGAACTCGGGTCGCCGGGGTCGCCCCCACGTGAGTGCGCGCTGCCGAAACGCACCGTGTTGTATTTCATCGTCTCGTTGCATGGCCCGCACACGTCCAGCGTGAAGTACGCGCGCCGCACAGCCTCATCCACGTACGGGAAGGCCAGGATGCTCAAGGGCAGCCCCACCTTGGCCACGAGCCGGCCACATCTGCGTGTGCCACGACAACAACATCGACATCACCCAAAAGACAGCTTCACTGGCCTCGAGCTCGATGGCCTCTGCGTGACCCTGGGGTATTGGCCACCTGTCCGGGTTGGACGTGGACAGTCTGGGGATTGGCGTCTGGTCTTCGGGGGTAGAAGCAAGGAATTAATTTTGCACAGAGATCTGGTAACCGGTGTGTTGAGAAACCTAATTTCAGGATGCTTCTGAGTTGTGATGCGAGACCAAGGCTGACTAAACACAACGCCGGGGGATTTGGTCTGTGCTGCTGGAGCCATCCCAGAGGCTGTCTGACTTGACTACCTCTGGGAGCCGGGGTGTCAATTACCCGGTTGCTGCAGAGGCCACCACAGATATTTACACCGAGGAGGCACAAGTTTACTGGGCCTGATTTAGTCCAAAAATGTAATGTTAATGCACATCCCATTCTCAATCCATTGCCAGATAAAGGCCTTCCCATGGCTTTCAGTCATGAGGATTGTTTGGCCATACTTCACCAAAGTTGTTCAGTGCTGTTGAGATGTCACTCGCTGCTGATTTTAGCCATGGCCGGAAATTGAACTCTGGTCACCAGGTTTACAGTACAATGTGCTAACCAGAAAAAGATCCCGCTGGACTGGGTCTGGGTCTAGTCTGGGCAAAAGGACATGATGTGGTGTGGACTCACGCCCTGGGTCCATAGTCTGAGTCTTGACCCATGGACCAGGTCTGGCCGGGTGCATAGACTCGGTCAGCTTTGCTCCACAGCCTGCTCTGGTTATATCTATGGGACCTTTTTGCCAGTATCAATGTATGACAAATTGGAATAGTATTCTTGGTTCTTTCGGTAAAGTCACGTAGAAGGGAAAAATAAAATAATACAAATATAAAACAATCAAATTCTCACGACGTTTCGACTGCAACACAAGCAATCATCAAGAAAATTTCAAATTTTCTTGCTGTGGTTTTCACACCTGATGATGATTGCTTGTGTTGCTTGTTTTATATTTTGATTATTTTATTGTTTCCCTTTTACGTGACTTTACCGAAAGAACCAAGAATATGAATCCCTGCAGTTACGAAAGCTTTAAATAAAAAAATAGGAATAGGTTTTACGCTTCCAAAAGGTATCTACAGTATTTGATGTTTGAACATATTAACACCTACTTTTTTTTAGACTTAAAACTTTCGTGACTGCAGGAATTCATATTCTTGGTTCTTTCGGTAAAGTCACGTAAATAGAAAACAAAAAATCAGTAATAAAAGCAAAAAAACCCCGAAACGTCGTGGGTTTTTTGTTTGTTTTGTTTTCTATTTATGTGACTTTACCGAAATAACCAAGAATATACCTATTTTATTGCCATTAATGGTCAAATCTATTCTTATTTTTAATAGTCTGGGTCAATTCAATGGTTTGTGACCCCGTGCGGCTCGGAGGACTGGGCCTGCGTATCCCCCGTGCCCCTTCCCCCCATGCCCCACCGTGCCTCTCTGTGCCCCCCATGGCATCCCGTGCACCCCCCCCCGTCTCTCAGTGCCCCCCCCCCCCCACCGTATCTCTCTGTGCCCCCCCCGTGGCTCTCCGTGCCCTACTATGCCCCCCATACATCCACCCGTGGCCCCCGTGTCTCTCGCATGCTCGCTCACCGGTCGTAGATGAAGAAGTCGTCCTTGGTGCCACCGAGCGTGCTCCACACGTCCGTGTCGTTGGGCGCGTGTTGCAGCACGGGGATGGCGGGTGGCACCTGGGCCTTCAGATGCTCGTAGCGCGCCAGCGAGGCGGAGCTGTTGTCGTTGACGATGAGGTAGTGGATGCCCCGCAGGCCCTCCTTCCACAGGTGGGCCCGCAGCTCCTTCAGGCTGCGGTGAAAAAAGTGGCCCAAGCTGCAAGCGTCTGATGAGGAACATTTCTCCTGGATAATCCTGAGATGAAATGCCTCGTTTTGCAAGGGTCCCAGTTTATTTTGTTCAACCGGGCAAGGAATCGAGCGAGCCGGGGGCATGAGTCTGCCGTTGGGTGGTTCATCCCAATGGAGTAATTTAGTTGCGTAATTTTTAAAATGGCGAAATCTGTGACCCTTACGCAGGCACGCGATGGTCTCCTCTTGCGAATAAGGGTCACGGGGATCTGTGACGTCCACTGCGAGTGAAGAAGATGTCCAGGAGTGCTATTATTATTATTGTAATAATAATGATGGCTGTTATTATTATTGTAATAATGGCTATTGCACCCGTAGCGCTAATCATGGTGGCCACTGGATTCGTACAGTGAATCTCTGCAAAAAGCAGCGAGCTCGCTACCGCTGAGCCACGGCCCGGCCCCAAAGGGTGTTCAGGGCGTCGACTGACACGGACATGGACATATCAAACGTGCGCGTAGCAAACACGCGCATAGAAAACGTGCGCCTAGCAAACGAGCGCACCAAAAGCGCGCATAGCAAGCACATGCATAGTAAACGCGCATGGTAAATGCGCATAGTAAACGCGCATAGCAAATATACATAGCAAACACATGCACATCCGCAAACACGCACATAGCAAATGTGCATGGCAAACACGCGCATGCATAGCAAACACGCGCATAGCAAACGTGCGTAGCAAACACGTGAGTAGCAAACACGTACCTAGCGTACACGTGCGTAGCAAACATGCGCATAGCAGCCACGCGCATAGCAACCACGCACAAAGCAAACGCACATAGCAAACACGCGCATAACAAACATGTAGCAAATGCGCTAGCAAACACGCGCATAGCAAACATGCACATAGCAAACACGTAGCAAACGTGCGTAGCAAACACACGATATCAAACACGCGCATAACAAACACGTACATAGCAAACACGTTTTGGCATGTGTGATTGCATTGTGTGTGTGCTCATTAGAGGCAGCAGAGGGCAGTGCATAAATGCCATCCATCTATAAGCTGTCCCTAATAACCATGAGCGGCATTGTGGAGTATACAAATAACATAAAGAAGCGGGCAATGCCGCTTTACGTATCCATCCCTCCACATAAAACTTGAAAAAAAATATACATCCCATCAGCCATCCTGCCTTTGTGCTGATGAGACACTTGAATGTGGAAACCGGTTGGGGCTCACAGAAGGGGGCCTTGTGGCTGATGGCCGATGGGAGATGTGTCAAGCTACGCTTTGCTCATCTCTTCCTCCCCACCATACGACGGAAGAAGAACAAGACGAGAGGCACTGGGAGGGTCACAGGCATTTAGGGTGAAGGGTCCCGCTGGCCACCCCCCAAGAGTGAACTCAATCTTCCGATGTTGCGGTCAAGCTAGCCGCGAGACACGACCAGCCTCCACTTACAAGAAGAGCAAACAGCTATTGCGGTATGAGTGAGGTTAAAACGGAGTCTGATTCTAAAACCACCCGGTGGTCACGCGGTATGGTTTTCCAGGTTGTATCCTGGTTGTGTATGGGTTGTGTGCAGGTCGTGTCCAGGTTGTGTTAACGTGTCCATGTTGTGTCCAGATTGTGTCCAGGTTGTGTGCAGGTTGTGTCTGGGTTGTGTCTGGGTTGTGTCCAGGTTGTGTGCGGGTTGTGTCCAGTTGGTGTCCAAGTTGTGTCCAGGTTGTGTCTGTGTTGTGTGCAGGTTGTGTCCAGGTTGTGTCTGGGTTGTGTCCGGATGGATTCCAGTGTAAAAAATCTTCTCCCAGTGGAGGCTGTCACAATCTCTTAAGCAAGAGCTTCAAACCTGTACCTGTTTCCGCTGAAATTAACAGATGTAAACTGACTGTTATTCTTTGGGTCTTTCGGTAAAGCCACGTAGATAGGTTCAAAGAAAATAACAAAAACTACGACGTTTCGATCGCAACACAAGCGGACGTCATCAGGAAAAGGGGATTAGCCTCAAAAGGAAAACTGTTTATAAAGGTTTAAAATGGGCGTAGCCCAAGTGTCAGCAGCATGGGCGGAGCAGCTAATGTTAATGTAAGTGATGGGCAGCAACGGCGCTGGTGGTGGGTTTCCACCAATTAAAGGACTGCCAGGTAAAAATTAGCATGTTAATGTAATATCGGAGAGCGGCCTCCATGGCGAGCGTGCTAATGTGAGATATTAGCATGTTAATGTAAGATCGCAGAGCCACCGCCACGTCGAGGTCGGAGCATGGTGGTGGCTCTGTTGGTGTGAGAAATTTAACCTGTTAATACTTTTTGGTTCTTTTGGTAAAGTCACGTAGGTATAAAATAAAATAAATCACGACGTTTCGGGTGCAGCACAAGCGTCCGTCATCAGGTGGGAAAATATAATCTGCTGCTAAGGCAAACTGTTTTAAAAGGTTTGAAATGGGTGTAGCCCAAGGGTATAAAGAAGTGGGCGGGGATAGTGATGTTAATCTGATAAATTAGCATGTAACTGTAAGAACGGAGAGCGGCCTCCTCGACGAGGGCACAGAAGTGGCTATGTTAATGTGAGAGATTAGCATGTTAATGTAAGAATGAAGAGTGGTGCAATCCAAAGGCATGAGAGTGCAATCCAAAGGACATGTGAGCACGGGAGTGTAATCCAAAGGCATGAGAGTGCCGCAGACACAGCTTAGTTTGTAGATGCCGGGGTATTGCATGTCAGGGATCACATCCTTCACAGATGGGATAAGATCACTAATTTTATGTACTGTGTTAAATCGAACCTGGATCTTGTGTATGCTCATGATTTTGGAAATCTTTTTGGTAACCCCCTTTTCCTGATGACGACCGCTTGTGTTGCGATCAAAACGTCATAGTTTTTGTTATTTTCTTTGAACCTATCTATGTGACTTTACTGAAAGACCCAAAGAATATTAATTCCTGCAGTCACAAAAGCTTTAAGTCAAGATTTGACTAAATGTCACAACATGTACTGTTGTAGATTGACCTACTTAATATTGAATTGCATAGTTTGTAAGTTTTAATGGAGGATAATATATATTTAGGGGCATTGGTTTCAAGTGAGGAAGGCACCTTAAACAAATAAAGTTTGTATTCTTGGTTCTTTCGGTAAAGTCACGTAGAAGGGAAACAATAACATTCTCACGACGTTTCGACTGCAACACAAGCAATCATCATCAGGTGTGAAAACCACAGCAAGAAAATTTGAAATTTTCTTGATGATGATTGCTTGTGTTGCAGTCGAAACGTCGTGAGAATTTTATTGTTTTATATTTTTATTTATTTTATTGTTTACCTTCGTGACGTTACCGAAAAAACCAAGAATACGAATCCCTGCAGTCACGAAAGCTTTAAATCAAAATAAAGTTTGATTAATTGAACCGAAACAGGAAACCTCTGCGCAATGGCTCGTGTCTGGTACGGCTCGACCGGAATCCCAGAAGTGCCCGCTAGCTTGGTCACGTTGGTCCCCTGTCGCCACAGTGTCTAAGAGATGCTAACTACCTCACCTGGTATGGGGGAGGACGAGTCGCATTCCGATCCCGACCCTGACGACGCCTGCTGTATATTTGGAGTGTGCGTGTCTCTCTCCCTGTGGTCTCGTGGATTTTTCTCCGGGTACTCCGGGTTTTTGCCTCCACATTTAGAAAACATGCATTTAGGAGTATTTGGCTGATATACATGTCCACATGATAAGCCGCCACTTCCAGGTCGCTTCTACGTAGCTCAGTGGTACCTTACCTGGTACAATAAACAAAAATGTTTAATATTATTGGTTCTTTTGGTAAAGTCACGTAGGAGAGAAACAATAAAATAATAAAAATATAAAACAATAAAAATTACTTTTTTTCAAATTTTCTTGCTGTGGTTTTCACACCTGATGATGATTGCTTGTGTTGCAGTCGAAATGTCGTGAGACTTTTATTGTTTTATATTTTTATTATTTTATTGTTTCCCTTCTACGTGACTTTACCGAAAGAACCAAGAATATGAATCCCTGCAGTCACGAAAGCTTTAAATAAAAAAAAATGTTTAAGTTTACCTCCGTGCCTGCTTCAAGCAGAAGTATCAGCTGGCCTTGAGCAGCGCCAGCACCACCACGCTGCCCAGCCGCTCCCTCATTGGCATTGCGCCGCCACCACCTAACGACCAAACCGGAGGCCGCTTGCACTTGGCTTCTGGGGCCTCCTCGCTCTCAGCCGCGGCCGCCATGAGCTGGCTGGCGGCCGGACCCGCGGCGAGCAGCAGCAGCAGCAGCCACCCGAGGATGGGGGGGGGCCCTCCGCCGGCAAGGCCCCCCACGGTGCCCGCCCAGCCCCCGGTCGGGGCCATGTGTTGCCCTGGCGGGTGGCTGCGCTGTACGGCAGCGACGACGAAGACGATGACTGCCTTGGCACTCCGGGGAGGGTCGACGCTGGAATGGAGCGATAGAATCAAGCACCAGACAATCATCCTATCAGAAAATTTCCCCCCCCCCTCCCACCACGTGAAAGAAAGTAGGCGTGGTGTTGGTCGAAGGGGGGCGTGTCTTTGCCCACGTGGTCATTGTGGACTGTGAGTCGAGGTCAATGAGTAAGGTTTGTCACGTAAACAGAACATGCCAATTCGTTACTCTCCAACACACCGGTGTGATGTACCGGTAACAAATTGTTCTGTTTACGTGACAAACCTTACTAATTGGCTGTGCCAGGTGGTGCCGGGTTTAACGATACATTTATATTTACGTGATCTGACCCAAAAGCCTCTATTATGAATAATATTCGTCGCGAAAGCCTCCTCCTCCTACTACTACGTGTTAAACCGAGGTCAGTTGTATCCATTTATTGTACCGCAGCGCAGCGACCTATTACAACGGCGTGGCTCTGCAAGATTCGACTGTGGCCCCCTCCCATCTATTTTCTCCCGATTCACTTTTATTGAAATATCTACGGATGGTTTTTAACCCCCTGGTACACAATACTATGTTAGGCTATAACTGTACATATTATTTTAGTATTTTAGTGGCACCGTGTTTTGGGTTTAGAGGAAGATCGTCTCACAATGACAGGATTAATAAAAACATTTAAAGATTACAATGCTCACAATTAAGTTATCGTGCATCTTGCTTTCATGCGCATTTTCAGTTAGCAAACAAGCGTGGTGGTGTTCAGTAACAACACCAACAGTAGCGCTACGAGATTTTACGCTTTGTGTATTTTTAGAATATTTTTTTTCATCCGTAACAATGTTTTTTTCTTTGGCAATTATAGTTCATTGTTGGAATATTTTTTGTTGTACTTGTTTATCTTGCTGATTCGGGGACCACCTTGTGGCTGCCCCCCCCCCCCCATGCGTCACATTACGCTGCCAAATCCGCCCCCCCCCCCCCCCCCCCCCATAGTTGCCGCCTGTTCGAGATTTTGGTCAATTAAAAAATATTTTCTCATTGTGGTGCCCTGAGTCGGTCCACTCTCGACCTGGCAGGCTGAGATATTGACCGGCCGTGTCCAGGTGGCAGGAACTGACGAGTGACCTTGATCTGGTACCGGTGTTTCTGTTGTTGAACTTTATCGCGGGACGCTGCGCAATGTTGACAATGACCCAGGCTGCCGGAGAAAGAGTCCATGACCCTGGTGACACTGGAGCGCAGTGGACACGTTATCGCTGCGTCTGCTGCTATCAGTGGGGAGCGGTGGCACAGCGGTTAGCGTACCTAACTGCGTACAGTAAACCCATCGACTATGCGCGAGTTCTGGATTCGCGAGTTTCGGAAATACTTAAAAAAGGGCATCAGTATACCTTCACGGCGCATAACCAATAAATAAACCATGAATCACGATATTGGACGTGAGAGCCTCTGTATAACAATAAAATATCCCAACGCTGGTGGGTCGGCTGAGGGGCCTTTCCCGGTTCAGTTGATGTTGACGGTGTGGGCACGTGCGTCACAACGCGATGTAACGGGGCCCCGCACGTTGCCTCAATGAAACAAATTTCGACAAAAATAGTCCAATGCTGGAGAATTACACTGCGAATCACTCACGTGGGATTACAGAAACATCATCACCCCCTCCTGATGCTGCGAAAACCTGGCAGCACATCCTGAAAACGAACCCCGGAACTTGGTGAGGCTTTCTTTGGAGGAATAACCGAAGTATCGACAATCCTGGGCCTTCCCAGGTCGAATGAATAATTGGAGAAAACAGGTCCCTGCAGGGTGGGCTGGTAGGAACATTGGAATTTTTACACCCAACAGCACGAGATTTCACTTCGTTAAAGTATTGAAAGTTGACGGACGGACGGACGGACACATTAATCTATTGCAGGCTGGTACACTCAGTTTACAACTTCGTTCCTACCAGTAACAGACTCCATACCGTTGCATTGTTCCATATAATGTGTTTACTACTCAAAGTCTGCTGAGCGAAAACTCTCGAGGTACCATCAGTTCATGCTTTGTGAGTGTGGCCATGCCAACCAGACTATGGACTATATAGTAAACCACTGTTGTCTGTGCTCCTTCAACGGAGGAGGACCAGCACACCTACACCAACTCTCTCCTGAAGTCCTCTCGACGTGGACAGCAGACCTCGACATTGGAACTTAGCGCCTGAACGTATCGCTGCTGATTCCATCATCATGCACAAGATAATGTATGTTGAACTTCTTTCGCACCGTACTGTTTACAGGGTTTTTTTGCTCGTGAACCCCACAGTATAAAAAGTAACCTCAAACTATAACCCAACGCCTGTGCCTCCCCCCTCAATCTCTCAATTCTGAAGGGCCAATGCACTAAACGTCAGCCTACTAAACACCTGTTACAACTCAGAGCGAATGACGAACAAGGTGATGGATTTATTTTGGTGTTTCTCTCTCACGGTCAGCCCCCGCTGCGCTTGTGGCCATCGTCACCACCACCACAGCTCTACTCACGGTGTCATCTGTGCACTGGGCGTTCAGTTGGAGATGTTAACTACCTCGCCTGGTATGCAGGAGGTCGTGGGTTCGATGCCGACCCTGACGCCAGCTGTATATTTGGAGTGTGCGTGTCTCTTTCCCCGTGGTTGCGTGAATTTTTTTTCCGGGTCCTCCGGTTTTTCCCTCCACATTTAGGAGGGAAAAACCGGATAAGCCACTTCGTTGAGCTATCATTTGTGACCTAGGTCGCTTCTGGCAAAAGAGATACGTAGCTCAGTGGTACCTTAATTGGTAAAACAAAAACATAGTACTCGGCTACAGAGTACACAACTTGAGTTGTCACTCTGGAGACCGGGGAGATCGTTGATCCATGTTTGGTCACCGGATTGATGGTGATTATGACGGCATCGGTCGTGAACTGTCACCGAACAAGAAGAGGCTGCTGCTGCTGTCGTCGACTTCGGCTGTGCGCGTCTCACCTGCGGTGGCGACGAGGCGCTGACGGCGAGACGGGGCGCGTCGTCGTCGTACCCGCGGTCGCTCTGCGTGTGTGTGGGCTCCGCTCCGAGTGAGGGCGCCGGGGTATCTCGTCTCGGCGTTGTTAATCATTGTCTCGTCTGTGTGTTTAGTGAGATTCTTCATCAAACAAACAGCGGCCGCGCGTGTTTGCCCTGCAAACAGCCGTGACTCTGCTCAAAGAGCCACGTGCTTCTGGCAATGTTGCTGCTGCGTTGGCAGTGGTCAGGCTATGGACTGGCCGTAGGGCAGCAATCCGCAGGAGAAATGCCCCGCTGGGCCGCTCTATTCCAAGGGCCGGTAGGCCGCTCTGTGTGGGGAAATTGCAAATGTGATCAGTGTATTTTTTTCTGAATACTTTATTACCTCTAATGTATACGCTTCATTGCTTATTGACGCTCCCAGTTGGCAATAAGTCTCCATATTTGGCAGCCCCAAAGATTCATCCTCACGGGCCTATTCGCTTTTTTGGACCCAGCCTCAAATGGTACCAATGAGGATGGCACGACAATTTGGGCCCATTGTGTTTATAAATGGCCGGGTCGATTTTTAGTCCCAGTCCGTCACTTGCAGTGGTGCACGAGCACAGCCAACAACAACAACTCAACACACTCGTCCACAACCCTGTGGCCTTACAAGAATAACAATCTACAGAGCTGACCACATTTGAGGCAGTGGCCCTTCTAATGTCACACCAACTACTACCTCACGTGCAGGACTTGGGCTATGTGGCCCGATTGTATCTTATCTGAGGGTTCCTGCAAACGTTTATACAAATGGATAAATATTCCTACAGCCGAGGTCCTTCTTGGCAAGCAGACTCCCCATGCCCTCAACATTGAACCACCTCGCAGGATTTTCTGACTTAATTCTGACATCAAGTCGGAAGTCAAACATTTAAATGCCCTCTGCAACAATGTTGCTTGTAACACAGTTGTTCAGTTTAACACATAGGCGTTCGCGACCAATACTATAATAATATAGGGTAGGGGGGGGGGGGGTTAGATTGCGTAAAACATGCCAATAAGCGCCTGATTGGCTCACAAGTGACGACATCACATGTAATCCCTTTGTTTAAGACCGAAACAGGAGGAGGATTTTTCCACAACTCCATGGCTGTCGCCTGACGAGGCTGGCTGTAATTACCGGGCGAAACGTCACGGTACTCGAATTGTAAATGTTGTGGAAGGGCTCACCTGGTCGTAATGGGGCTAGAAGGGCTCACCTGGTCATCATGGGCTAGAAGGGCTTACCTGGTCGTCATGGGGCTAGAAGGGCTCACCTGGTTGTCATGGGGCTAGAAGGGCTCACCTGGTCGTAGTGGGGCTAGAAGGGCTCACCTGGTCGTCATGCGGCTAGAAGGGCTCACCTGGTCGTCATGCGGCTAGAAGGGCTCACCTGGTCGTCATGGGGCTAGAAGGGTTCACCTGGTCGTCATGGGGCTAGAAGGGTTCACCTGGTCGTCATGGGGCTGGAAGGGCTCACCTGGTCGTCATGGGGCTAGAAGGGCTCACCTGGTCATGGGGCTGGAAGGGCTCACCTGGTCGTCATGGGGCTAGAAGGGCTCACCTGGTTGTCTTAGGGCTGGAAGGGCTCACCTGGTCGTCATGGGGCTAGAAGGGCTCACCTGGTCGTCATGGGGCTAGAAGGGCTCACCTGGTCATGGGGCTAGAAGGGCTCACCTGGTCGTCATGGGGCTAGAAGGACTCACCTGGTCGTCATGGGGCTAGAAGGGTTCACCTGGTCGTCATGGGGCTAGAAGGGCTCACCTGGTCGTCATGGGGCTAGAAGGACTCACCTGGTCGTCATGGGGCTAGAAGGGCTCACCTGGTCGTCATGGGGCTAGAAGGGTTCACCTGGTCATGGGGCTAGAAGGGCTCACCTGGTCGTCATGGGGATAGAAGGGTTCACCTGGTCGTCATGGGGCTGGAAGGGCTCACCTGGTCGTCATGGGGCTAGAAGGGCTCACCTGGTCGTCTTAGGGCTGGAAGGATTCACCTGGTCGTCATGGGGCTGGAAGGGCTCACCTGGTCGTAATGGGGCTGGAAAGGCTCACCTGGTCATCATGGGGCTGGAAGGGCTCACCTGGTCGTCATGGGGCTGGAAGGGCTCACCTGGTCGTCATGGGGCTGGAAGGGCTCACCTGGTCGTCATGGGGCTGGAAGTGCTCACCTGGTCGTAATGGGGCTGGAAGGGCTCACCCTGGTCGTAATGGGGCTGGAAAGGCTCACCTGGTCGTCATGGGGCTGGAAGGGCTCACCTGGTCATCATGGGGCTAGAAGGGCTCACCTGGTCGTCATGGGGCTAGAAGGGCTCACCTGGTCGTCATGGGGCTGGAAGGGCTCACCTGGTCGTCATGGGGCTGGAAGGGCTCACCTGGTCGTAATGGGGCTGGAAGGGCTCACCTGGTCGTAATGGGGCTGGAAAGGCTCACCTGGTCGTCATGGGGCTGGAAGGGCTCACCTGGTCGTCATGGGGCTAGAAGGACTCACCTGGTCGTCATGGGGCTAGAAGGGTTCACCTGGTCGTCATGGGGATAGAAGGGTTCACCTGGTCGTCATGGTATTCGAATTGTAAATGTTGTGGAAGTTTTGACTCCTCAACACACAACCGATTAGTGCTGAACTAGTAACGAATTGGCACGTTTTGTTTAAATGGCAACCTTACTATTGGCTCTGTCAGGCGGCGGTGGTTTTAACGACACCTTTATATTTACGCGATCTATCTGAGAAAAACCTCTGTTATGAATGACACAGTTGTCTGTGTTGCTTGGTTTAATGTCGGTGCTCTCTCTACCCTCGTAAGCTCCTCCAAGACGCCGGCGATCATGGCCTTCGTTCCCTTGAGCTGTCTGTGGTTGCTACTGAGACACTGACTCGCATTGTATTACTCTCTCAGTTGCATCCAATTGTTCAAGTTGCTTATGTAACATTATTCGCTGTCTCTCCCTGGCTTCTTGCTGTAACTGTCATTTTCCCCGTCATACCCCATTTATACTCAGTCTCTTATTTTCTCATTACATCTCCAAGTAATCTAACCCTGCCACTCTCTAGTCTCATCAATGTTCTTGTTTCACCTGCAGCAATCCATAACGTATGTAAGTCACTCACCTTGTCTGTCCATGACGTGTTTAACATCAAAGGCACGATGAGCCAAAAAGCAACACGGCGTTGTGTGGCCTTAAAATAAATATATATTTGGCCAGAGAGAGATAAGAGTTGTAAGACTGCACTGTTATCTGATGACCAGTTGTTTAAATAGGGATATGAATAGTTACACGAATAGTCGCTGTTGAGTAACAAACTCCTTTAGTTACAACACAAGCACTGCTTCCCCCAATGTTCCGTTTGGAATTGATAAAAGCTACCATACTGCCTCTACTTGATTACTGTGATATCGTGTATAAATCAGCCCCAAGTACTGTACTGAAGAAGCTTGATTCCATCTATCACTCGGCCTTAAGATTTACATTGAACTGCTCATATAGGACTCACCACTGTGATCTCTACATTGGGTCAAACTTAACATCTAATGTTCGATGGCTTGTGCACCAGATCTTATTTATTAAGTTTCAGTTTTTATTTTTCAGTTTATTTATTTTGGTATAGCCCTGTGAGCCATTCGGCTCTTGAATCGGGTGCAACCACAACAAACAAAAAAACTAAAACACGAACAAGAAAGACATCTTAAAGGGCCTATGTGACTGTGCAAACAGAAAATCCATGAAAAAAACAGCGAAATATTCCTGAAAAAAAGCACTATACACCAACGCTGTGTGCAAAAAATCCCAGTCGGATGCAAGTCAAACAACAACAACAACCACAAGAAATTTTGATTTAAAGCTTTCGTGACTGCAGGGATTCATATTCTTGGTTCTTTAGGTAAAGTCACGTAGAAGGGAAACAACAAAATAATAAAATTATAAAACAATACAATTCTAACGACGTTTCGACTGCAACACAAGCAATCATCATCAGGTGTGAAAACCACAGCAAGAAAATTTGAAAAAAGTGGCGGGTTTTTTTTAACGTTAGCACCACAGAGAGAGATTTGGCAGTTATTCAGATGGACGAGTCCATCTATGTTCGGAAAAGAGGAGGGGGGAGACGAAAATAATGGATGCGGTTTGAAAGCCACCGTAAGCGTGAACAATCAATAAAGACCCGAAATGGTTTATCAAATCCTTCCAATGATTGCTAATTCAGAATCCATCTTCTCGGTTGAAATTGTCTCTGTGTTTGTGCATGTGGATAGCCTCATGAACGAATCTCTCATGGTAGCCAGATGGCTTGCAAAGAACCTCTGTCTTGGAGAAGTCAATGTCATGTGAGCCTACTGAATTATAACAGTGATCTGCCAGGGCCGAGGTGTTGGTCCTACCGTGTTTTACGTCTGCTTTGTGTTCGCGAATGCGGTCCGAGACATGTCGTTTGGTTTCTCCAATGTAACTACTACCACAGAGGCAACTTAGTTTGTAGACGCCAGGGTACTGTATGTCCGGAAACACATCTTTTACAGACGGAACCAGATCACGGATTTTATGTAATGTGTTGAATTGGACCTGGATCTTGTGTTTATTCAAGATTTTGGAGATCTTTTTGTGATCCCCGCAATGTAGGGTAAAGTGATGGTTTTGAAAGTCTCCTCAAGAGGGTCCTTCTTCATGGTTGGAGTGATAGCTTTGCGGATTGTGTAGTCGGAGTAACCATTAGCCTTAAGAGCTTGGTGTACGTGCTTGAGTTCACTGGCTATGGTTTCCTGGTCGGATATGCATTGGCCTCTATGGTGCAGAGTCTTGATGAGGGGAATTCTCCTGGGGTGGATGGTGGTGGGAATCCGATTTCAGGTAAGCATCCGTATGGGTAGCTTTCCTGTAGACAGAGTGGCTCATTGAAAAATCAGGTCTCTTTTTTATTAGGACATCCAAAAAAGGTAGCTTGCCATCTTTTTCGACTTCCATGGTAAATCTGATAGCTGGGTGTATGGAATTGATGTGGTCGAGGAATTGGTCTAGAGCATGGCGGCCATGTGGCCAGATGACAAGTGTCATCCACGTACCTCTTCAATAAGGTTGGGCACAGAGTGGCAGTCTGGATGGCGTCAGTCTCAAATTTCTCCATGAAAATGTTGGCTACAACCGGAGATAGGGGAGAGCCCATTGGGGTGTCCTCAGTTTGTTTGTAGAAAGTTCCGTTCCAAGTGAAGTATGTATTGGTTAAGCAGTGTCTCACCAGGGGGGGGGGGGGGGTACCTCAGTGTTTAGTCCTTGATGAACCAAGTCTTCAATGAGAGGGATGACATTGTCATCCTCTCAGCCAACAAGGGCAATGCCACTGTCATCATGGATAAAATCGAATATAACAACAAAATTCAAGAATTACTCAACGATGGCAGCTATACAAAAATAAAAGGAGATCCCACCAACAGCCTCGTCATACAACCTAACAACATCATTTCTGATTCAACCGCATTAATTGATCA